TTTTCCATGCCGTTCGTGCTCGACACGGACGCAAGCAATACCGGGATTGGAGGCGTGCTGTCACAAATTGTGGATGGCGTGGAGCGCGTTGTGGCTTATGGTAGTAGAGTACTGTCCCCGGCCGAGCAGCGGTACTGCGTCACCCACCGCGAACTGTTGGCTATCGTGTTCTTTATCCAACAGTACCGGCCATATCTGTACGGCCGGCATTTCACCGTCCGTACAGATCATGCAGCGTTGCAGTATGCCCTACGAATTAACCAGCCATCGGGGCAGTTGTCCCGATGGCTCGAGATCATGCAGGATTTCGATTTTGAGACAACTTACCGGAAGGGGATTCGCCACACCAATGCCGATGCCCTATCACGCCTGCCAATCGCCCCGGATTGCACTTGTTTCTTGGGTTCGGGCCGTTGCAAATCGGCAAGTGACGGCCAGGATCGGGTTCTTGCGGCCGCAGTTGATACTCCTTCGGACGCTGGTCCTATTTCGGAGGGTGGGAGTGATTCCCTACTTGGCTTGTCGAGTGCTGAGTGGGGTCGCCTCCAAATGGAGGATGCGACCCTCCTGGCGCTACGACGTCGCGCGGAAGGATCAGGTCAAGGGAAGTCGGGCGTTGACTCATGGGGGTGGTGCCAGGGCTTACTCATGCATTGGGACGGGACGATCCGCCGTCACAGGCTGGTGGTGCCTTCCACGTTGAGGGGTAGGGCTGTATGGGCTGCTCATGAACGGCTCCTGCACCTGGGTACCCTCAAAACACTTGCCATGCTCCAGCTTAACTACTTTTGGCCGGGCATGGCAAGAGACGTGGACGATCTGCTGCGGTCCTGTACCCAGTGTGCACAACGGAAGCCGCCGGCGAAGGGAGCCAGTCCACCGCTCCAGTCCATTTCGGTCACCCGGGTTAACGAGCTGGTCGCCCTTGATATTTTGGGACCGTTTCCTTCCACGCCGAGGGGTAATAAGTACCTGCTGGTTGGCGTGGAATATTTCACGCGATGGCCAATGGCTTGGCCCCTCGCCAACCAGTCCGCAGCGGCCGTTGCGGAGGCTTTTGTTCAGGGCTACGTCCTCGACAAGGGCACTCCGGAATGGTTGTTGACCGATCAGGGAAAGAATTTCACTAGTACCCTTTTACACGAGGTATGTGGCCTTCTGGGTACAAAGAAAGTTCGTACCTCGCCTTACCATCCACAAACGGATGGGATGGTGGAACGCTTGCATAGGACTCTTACGTCCATGCTATCCCACCAGGTATCTGAGTCCCAAAACGATTGGGATCTACGGATCGGGGGAGTCCTGGCGGCATACAGGATGGCTCCTCACGCGGCGACCGGGTTCTCGCCATTTTTTTTGATGTATGGTCGCGAGGTTGACCCGCCTGTCGCGACTCAGCTGACGATTGCCGCGCCTCATGCTAAGTCGAAAATCGCCGACCATGTTAAATTTAACATCCTTCGCTTGGCGGAGGCACGGCAGGCGGCCATGCAAAACTCTGACTCTCGCCAGAAACAAAACGAGAGATTGCGGTCGCGCCGGACTCACACGCACGAATGGCACCCGGGCGACCGAGCATGGTTGCACTGCCCCCAGGTGCCATTGGCCACCTCGGCTAAGTTGTTGCGACCATGGAGGGGCCCCGTTGAAATTGTGCAGGTTGTGCGGCCTCAATGTGTGCGCATTAAGTGGGGGAAGCGTCGGTGGTTTGTGCACCCTTCACGGTTAAAGCCATGTTTTGCTCCGCACGCTTCCTCCCACGTAAATGGCCGAACATGTGGGGAGTCCTCTGACTCCGGGGGGGCGGGATCGATGCCAGCCTCTGATCCACTAATGACTGTCCCGTCTTCAGGAGCCCCAGGACTGAAGCCCTCTTGGCTGCCAGCCTCCCCCGTGGGGGGCGGCGCTGGCACGTCCGGGAAACCGGACGACCAGGCACCTGCTGATGCGACACCTGCCACCGACTCTACCAAGCCGGCCCCTTGTGACGGGCCCGCTGCACGGACTCGCGCCAAAACGCGCCGGTTGTTATGATTAGCTTTCCGCGCGTGTTCCGTTGCTGCGGAACCCGCTCATTGTATATATGTTTTTTTTTAATGGTTGTATGTGTGTGTAATAACGATGACCACGCTATCTGCTTGTTGCTTGCTGTCCATGTAAGTGTGTGCGTGTGTTGGGAATGGACGGAGAGTCTGCTGTGGTTGCTGAGTTTCAAAGGGAGTGTGTGCGCTGCTGCGTGGAGTTGTTATCTTGATGGTAAAGTTAATTATTAACGTGGGAGCGTCGGGTATCCTGTGCTGTACCATCTCGAGGGTCACCGTGCGCGATGGGCTTAATTGAAAAAAAAAAAAAAAAAATGTTTTTTTTGGGCTGTATTGTGCTGCGAGGTGCTGTGTGCGATGCGGTCGTTGCATGAGAGGGAATAACTGTGTTGTGGTTGAAAAGTTACGACGGGATTGATGGTGTGTTGGTCGCCTGCAGATTTGCTTGCTATTGTGCTTCAATGTACGCGTGTGATCGCGATATGCTGATTGCATGTGCTGTTATACCGTTCTGTATATGTGTTGCGGTTCCGGGTGGGGTTTTTTTTTTTAGGGAACCATCGGTTGATGTTACGCTTGTTCTTGTTATTGTTACTGTTACGAGGCACACGTGTATTGACGGTGTTAATCTTTATTCTTGGGGGTTGAGGGATTGTTGCAGCCGGGACGCCTGCGAGCTGTACAGGGGGGGGTGATGTAGGGGTTATTACGGGAGAAACGGCGGACAACAAACACAGGGCTGTCGGCACTCACATACACGGGGGGTCACACCGACGTCCGCATCAGTTATTGCCCACGCCCCCAGCCCTCGGAGGCGATCCCTATAAAAGGTGGAACCCAAAGAGCTCGAGTTCAGTTCGACACGAAGCTGACCAGTGAAGATCCAAGACTCGGAGATTAGGCCCTGGGACTCCCCGGTCTCGCCGTCCTTATAAGGGCCGAGCCGGGTAAGCCAGTGGCGCGGCCCAAGAGCTTCCAGACCGCTGCCCTTATCAGGGCAAGGCTGGTTAGCTGGTGCCGAGATCTGTGCTTGCCAGGGCCAGATCAGTCAGCCTCCCGTAGCCCAGTAGAGGAGGACTGGGGGACAGGACAGAGGGCTTAGTACTAGGGTGGGTTTCCCATAGTACGGGTGAAGGGGCCGATACCCCTTCAACTATTGTATCTGTCCCGGAGTTAATAAACAGTGTGTCTCAACTTCGACATCGTCTCCTCCTCTACTTACTACACATATTTGAACATTACTGCAAGCGTCTTAGCCTCGTTCATTCGGTATTCGAGGGGAATATTGCCATTTAGTAACGTTGTTTCAAATATCGCGCATTGAACGCTCGATTTTAATTTGCAATGTAATTGAGGGACTGTGCGTTGTCTTGTCGTGGTCTGGTGCTGTTGTTGTTGTGTTGCTGGCTTGCCAAAGCTTGCATCTGTTGACAAATCGGCAGGAATGTACTTTGTATTTTTAGCAACATGCTTACATTTTCTACATCTTGCCTCTCATATCGTTTTTGTACAAACCTCGCTGACCTGCCCCTACTGGACATATGTGAAAAGAGCTTCATAGCTCATCGGATTTCTCCAGGATAAAAAAATATTCTGATTAATCAGTGGCTCTGCCAACCTGCATCCACACACGACCAAGCACCCCTTGTAATGCAATACACATGGTTCCTTTCCCATAGACATGTAATTCTGCAAATGTGCAGAAATGTCTGCCGTATGCGAATTACTCCAGACAAGTTTGGAGTATTAAACGTGACCTGTTGTGACTTGTCTAATGTGCATCGTGTGGTTGTTAGCACAGAAAGATGCGTCTGGTAACGTCCTAATGGACCAAACATCGTAAAAAGGAGGCTGGGTCTGCGTTGTTCAGAGTGACCACCATATACAGGGACTCTTCTACTTACGGACGAGTTAGGTTCCAGAAGTCTGTTCATAAGTCTATTTGTTCGTAAGTCCAACTTTACTCCTGTCGATTCTAAACATGTTGTACAGCGTGTACACTAAACATGGGGAATGGCTTTAGGAGTTGTATAATCTCCTGTAGACGTAGAGGCCACTGGTTCTTCACGTTGTATAGATGTAGATGCCACCAACCACCATCTATTGCGTGGCGGTTGAACTTATGAATCTCAGTCCAAACAGGCAACTGGAATATGGACAGGTTTGTTCGTATCTCTGAGACTTTCTAAGTTGAAGAGTCCCCGTAAATATTTTTGAGGACCACTGGGATCTTCAGTTTAAACCGTGAGTTTTGGAGTCATTGGACCAGAAAGAAGTGAGATAAAAACGACAGTAACATTGAAAAATATGTACACAGGGCAGGGAGGGCCCAAGTCGCATGACAGGATTTATTCAGCAGTATCGTCACGGGAACAGAAACAGCGCTCCCGAATGAATCGCAGAAGCCCCCGAATATTCCGCCTCAGGCGGGAGAATCTCCGTCCAGGCCTGTGTGACGCCCTTGGCCCAGTCTTGTCGACGGCATGCTCCTCGTGGTTGTTGCCTGGTTGGAGAGCAGGGCCCCGCCTGGCAAACGGACGCACGCGCCATCGTTAGCACGGTCGGCTACGATTATCACGGTCGGCTACGTACGGATGCAAAATTATTTCAACGTACACACCTGCGCGCATTCAGTATGCCACCGTCTGCCCCATCATGCATTCTCGGCTGTGCTTACACTGGTTGCTGTAGTGCACCTCAGATGTGTCCGGCCGCTCAAATGCGAGGTCGGAGGATACCACACATCTCTCACTACGGCCAGTGGCGGAATGCTACATTTATATCGGAGAACACTTTCACTGAATAACCTCCTCAATACACATTTTCCTCAAGGTGCACTTCTGCGTGGAGACTCACTCTTGTCTCGTGGCCGACTCCATCTCCTCCTCCTCCGCGATGCCGTCATTGGTGCCACCACTTTGATTGGGGAATTTTTCAGACAGGCGTGTTACGGCACAGTCACCCACCGACTCCACTCCCCACTCCGAGTTTGAAGCCCACTCGCTCCCAGCAACTGAGCCTGCAGTATTCTGATTTGTCCAAGTGGCCTCCGGAGTCTGCTCGCTTGCAGTAGTGACTTGGCAATCTCCCTGGCTGAGACAGGGGATTTCCGGGAGGATGCAGGCCTCCATCGGCTCAATTTCCTCTTCAACGATGACGTCATTGGTGCTGTCACATTGATTGAAGAGTTTTTCAGTCAGGCGTGTTACCGCACAGTCACCCACCGACTCCACTCCCCACTCCGACTGCATTCCCCAATCCGAGTTTGAAGCCCACTTGCTCCCATAAACTGAGACTGCAGTATTCTGATTTGACCAAGCCGACTCCGGAGTCTGCTCGCTTGCAGCAGGGACTTGGCAATCTCCCTGGCTGAGACGGGGGTCTGCCGAGAGGCTGCAAGCCGCCACCGGCTCCGTGTCCGTGGCTGGGCAAGGCGGGAAGTTCGCTTGCGGTGGCTTGGCCCTGCCGCCCCGCAAAAATGGGTGGTTGAGGGCCTCCGTGGGTGTGAGGCGACGTTGGGGATCCCACCTGTCAAGAAGGCAAATGGTGGGAGTCAGTTGCCTGTTGCATTCTAAAATCGCTTCATTGAATCATGGGCTGGGGTGAAATGCGCAATTCTATCATCAACACTTTTGTCAGAAACGATATTTATTTTAAAAAGCTACGAGATGAAGAAACGATGCCCCGGTGTGACACAAAACCTTGCAGTCCTAGCCCAAATGACACGTGAGGTCTAAGATCGTTTCCAGTAATGTTGATGGTAGACTCAAAGTGATTTATATTTAAGTCTTTGTACGAGGTGAAATGTAGACAAGAGTAACAAGTCTCTTACTGAAGGCACCCGCGGAGAAAATTGATCAACTTTCGATTGCGGGTTCCCAGAACTGTCTTCAAAGACACGGAGCACGGGACGATCCGTTTCCCGTTGACGACGGGGCGATTCTTTTCGTCTGTTTATCGGAGAGACAAAAAGAGAGAGACACTGAGTTAGTTGTGGCGATGAGTACAACGCGGCGGCGGTCCTTAACCCTCCAATTGCGATGTTTGCGAATATGATTCCCTGTTGGCAGTCGACACCACATTGGGAAGTGGGTTAAAATTGAGTTACAAGATTTGAGGATACAACAAGGACAACAACAACGACAAAAACAACAGACAGAGTGAGTTCAAAGAAAGATTGTAAAATTGGAATCGAGAGTATTCTCTATGTATAAAGCGCTCTACCTAGCATTTACCGTTATAAACCTTTTTCATGTGTAGTACCCCAGTAATTACCCTGTAATCGAGTAATTTGTAGGGGGTAGGGTAAAGGTAGGGTAAAGGTAGGGTAAAGGTAGGCTCGTTGCTTTTTACATTTAAATTTTTACCTTACCGAGGCCTACTCTTAAGCGTGAAATTCCCATTCTCAACTCTGGGCCACCGAAGGAGACGAGAACCTCCTGATACTTGCTTGAGCAAGGAGACACCTTGATGTTTATTTTAGTATTATATTTTTATTTGCATCATTTGGAGAGGATGGTAATTTGTTGTACAAGCGTGCTTTTAAGCGTAATAGATTTCTCAATCAAAGACCAACAGTTTGTGTGGAGGGTTGTTCTTCATGCTTGTTTAATACTATGGTAGAACTGCTCTATTATGATTTAGTATACCGTTGCATCTGGCACACAATCTTTTTAAAATTGTGCTAAGTCATGCTGAAATATAAAAAAGCGGCCACTCATCTTTATTAAAAATTTGATGGCCAGAATTCCATGTAATTAATGCACACGTCCTTTGTTGGATTGCAAATCCCCTGGGGTTTTCCAAATATACTGTGCTACCTAAACATAACCGTTCCGTTTAAAGTATTTTTTTCATAAGACTCCTTACTGTCGCACTAATTCAACACGTACTGACAAGTACGTTGCCAAGACCGTTGTGACTTTTAAACCCAAATAAAGCACAGTTCATTTTTAAATGACGCGAATCAGTTTCCATGTCTTTCTATTCGAGCACAGAGCACGAGACACGCGGCTGCACGGCCTCGACTCTCCGGGCAGTGACAGCAGCCGCAACAGCTACGAGCCCCAACACCATCACCACCACCACCTCACCACCCCCCCTGTCCACTCACCAAAGGAGATGATGTTGTGGATCGAGGCGTCAATCATGGCTTTGGGTGGGAGCCCCAACATCTGAAACCAAGATCACAAGAGGGATGAGTTGGATGAGGTTCGTCGCCCGAGTGAACAGAGCGTACATACGCTGCACTTTGTCTCTTTGAAACGTCGACGAACAATAAACTTTGACTGCTCTTGTACATACTGTTTGCAGATATGTATCTCTATCATCAGGCGATACATACATATTTGGTCTTTAATTGACGACGTGGCTACTACGTGCGGCTTCGTTGCTCTCCAACAGGCTTTGAAAGCCTCATGGATTAACAATAAACCACAATAATCATAACAATATTAATCATTGCGAAGGGCATCAGCCTGACGCTCTGATTCTCTGGTATTACCGATGAACCCGAAATCTCTCTTTCCTTCTTTACTCATGCAAATGGTCTGTGATCATGCAGTGAACACGTCCACTCCTCTCCCGTGTACCGGCAGCTGAGCGACATTTTTTGACCAGTGAAAGGCCCAGAGGATGACAACAGCACTGCACGTAACCAGCTTTGTCGCATGAGCCATCGCATAGTGGATCTGTACGCGAGTTGATCGTCGTGCACCATCAGTCATAACCAACCCCCTACTGCTGTTGTTGTTGTTTATTGTGGACTTCATTGTTGATTAAAATTCAAATTAAACCCCCCTCATCCTTTAAATGGCGCAGTTGGAACTGTCCCATGGGAAATATTATGCCCGTTTTGGTGGTGCCGTATCGGGCTCGAGGTTTGTTACAATAAAAATGATAGAATTCATCAGTATGTATATATTATAATAATTAATATTTGTAAGCCGCATTTCATCCGAGGATCCCAATGCGCCCCGTGTATGGAAAGCAGGGAAATTACACGACCAAAACTAGGAAATTAGACGACCAAAACTATGGGGAATAGGCCATTTTATCGAGGTGAGTTTTCATGGCGAGATTTAAATCACTTAAAAAATTCTGTCTTGTTATCAGAGGCCAACACGTTCCATAGTCTTGGAGCTTCACTGGCAAAAAGCCAAGTCGCCCCCAGAAATTGAGACTTGACCTCAGAAAACTAAGGAGTAGAAGATATCAAGGACATCATTGGTGTACATGAGTGGATCAGCTACTGTAAGTATTGTGGGGCTAACCCACTGACAGCCTTGTAGCTCAACAGCAGGACCTTATAACCAACTGGATTTTTATGCAATGGTGTTTTCCTACGCGTCAGATACCTGGATGAGATAGCCGATGTGGTCTTCCAAGCTTTTCTTGAAGAGCAGTTTCCCGGAGAGCATCTCAGCCACCACACATCCGAGTGACCACATATCCGCGCTGCACGTGACCAGGAGCCCAAAGTACATTTCTGGGGGCATGTACCACCTCGTTCCAAGACACCAAGCTCCTAGCAGCACACGGACAGACAGGTGACCAAACAACGTGGCACTTGCACGTTATTCACTTGTGAAGTGCAGAATAGATGAGGGTACACACACGCAGTCACGTATGGCACTCAAAATATGCACAATGACAAAGATCGCCCACGTAAATGCGTATATCAGCTGGGTCGCACTTACAAATGTTAATTATTTTCATTACACTGGTGCCAGCTATCATAGAGTGCAGTTGTCGTGTCGCGAGAGTTCTCTGCGGTGAGTAACAACTTTTATTGTGTGACAACTACCCTAATCACCACTGTGAGGTTGAGAGTTGAAATCCTGGCCAAATGATTGACGAAATGTAACGTTTGAAGGGTATGAGTGTCACTACCATACTTTGTTTAAGCGGTGCTAACCACCACGCCACCACAGCACGAAGACAAAGACCCCCCATATAGCTTTAACAGGCTCATAGTGCAGCGTGCTAACCGTTTCACCACCGCTCCCCACAAACACTGTGACACGCACATACAAACACACGCTGCTACACACGTACACACACACAGGGCAGCTACATCACTCACTTGGGCAGATCTCGCTGATGCTCAAGCCAAAATCCGTGAGCCTGATATTGCCACTGATGTGGTCTTTGACCAAGATGTTTGCCTGCAAAAAGGACAGAGTGGTGTGTCGGTGAGATTGCGTCTTGTTGAACTGGTTCATGGCGATTTACTCAAAGATTTCCTGTACTCATTTTTGTTGAACACTTACTGACCTTTGTGAATGTAATAATGGTTGAAGATCTCCCTACCCCATGCCGTGTTGGTCAAGGGAGTTATATGCCCATACCTCACCATGCTGCTCAGGGCCAGCTGTTGAAGGCAATGGGAGCCAGGACCGGTTCAAATATCACCCAAACCCTGGTTTTAGCCGTGGCCAGAAATCGAACTCTGATCATTGACTTCTAAGTGCAGATTGCGAACTACCGCACCACTGCTACGCCCATAATTTAGCTTTGGCATTCGGAATTGTTGCTTAGGGCAGTGGTCGTTGTTGTTTAACGCACATTAGAAAATCTTAAATGTTCCGTGGAGCGTTGGTTGTTGAGAGCAAACAGAGATCCATATGAAAAGTTGTATTTCTATGCAAGTTTTGGCTCTCTGTATTTATGAAATAGCAAGTCGTGGCATGACTGTTGTTTCGGTGTAGAATAAGTCACTGGATATCTCGAAATCCTGTTACTAAGGTTTACAAGAGAGTTCTCATTTTCTACAACTGCACGAACTGAGGCACTAACTCCATACAGACGGACAAAAGACGCAGCAGGCTGATTAGTTCACTCACCGGCTTCAGATCCGCGTGAATGATGTGCATCTCCTTCAGCTTTGCCAAGGCCCGCAGTATGGAGCGCACATACGGCTTCATTTCCGTCATGTATAAGCCATAGGTCTCGTCCAGCTTTTGGAGGAAGTCTCCGCTGCGTGACGGCACAAAACGTGAATGGTTACAGTTTCTTTCTGCTTGTTACACATTCCCTGATTGGCCCCTTGAACGGGAGCACACGTGCTTGACTGAGGCAAAGCCGCACGTAGTTAACATACAGGGTTGCCGCTCAACTCAAAATATAGTCAATGAGGCAGGAAGGCATTATAAACAGTTATGTCTGACCATGGAGCCGCGTAGAAAGGCAATAATTGTTGGGTAGAGGCCGACCGAAGCTGAATTTCTGGTTTGGGCCGAAAACGAAATTAGACCGAAAGTAAAAAATTGACTTTCGGCCAAAAACGAAATTAGACCGAAAGTAAAAAAATTAGTTTCGGCCGAAACCGAAAGTAAATCGAAAGTTAACTTTTTGGCTTCGGCCGAAACAGAAACTATGCCGAATGAGGCCATTTTACAACTTTAGGCGCCGAAACCGAAACCGAATTTCGGTCGGCCTCTAATTGTCAGACTTGGAATCTCGGTATCAACACACGTGTAGACTGAAGCGAACGCAACACATAAGCCAAGGCGGGCAGGCGGCTGGGTACAGACAACAGAGACACTTTGTTGTTGCCCTGCCAAAGAGACTCCACCCACGGATGGAGATGCAGGCTGCCGTCTGTTGACCGGTCGTATATACATTAGCAGACCATGGTTGTGGCTGTAACCTCACTCACAAGCTGATGCTACTGACATGTGTGTGTGTGTTTGTAGCCTATCGCATAGGATTGCCTAGTGCCGACTGACCGGCCGATAGGCAGAGTGATAGACGTAGCACTAGCGTTATTTTCTAAAAATAGATCTTCGGTTGACGAATGACGACCGAAAGTCAATATCAGTTTCGGCCAAAACCGAAACCAGACCGAAAGTAAAAAATGTACTTTCGGCCTGAAACCGAAAGTATGCTAAAAGAGGCCATTTGCCAACTTTCGGTGCCGAAACCGAAACCGAATTTCGGTCGGTCCTCTATTCTAGGGCATTCTGAAAGCCTACGGACATTTATTCTACATCCAAACGATTCATGTGTATGAACACACGGATGCATCGGTGTTTGGGGGAGCGGTGGTGCAGCGTTTAGCGCATTGCTCCACGATTCCCGCTCACGGCCAAGACCAATGACGATTATTTGAACCAGTCCTTGGCCTCCCCTAGGTCGACTCAGCCTCAAATGAGTACCTGGTGCGGTGTGTAAACATCGCCACTGGGGAGACAAAGGCTGCCGGGCGTGGTGCTGGCCACCCACCCCCTCGTGTGCCTTGCCCGTCTTCATAGGTGCTACTTGCTAACATCACTTGCCCCAACAATCTTCTCAGGCTATACCGGTTAATCTTTGTCTTTGGATCGGTGTTCATCGGACGCCATGACACTCACCTGATGAGCTCCAGGACGACGCAGTTGTGTCCCCGGAAGGTGAAGTTGTCCAGGAGGGTGACGATGTTGTTGTTGTCAGGGTCCCCCTTGCATCTGCAGGATCTTCATGATCTCCAACTCCAGCTGCTGTCTCTTCTTGTTGATGCTGTCAGGGGGGGGGGGGGAGAACGCACGGAATGAGAGTTGTCACCTCGCTCTGAGCATCGCAACACGCAGGGGCGGAGGCAATGCTCATTCACCCTCCATGAGTGGTCCTAAGCCAAGAGTGTGAATTCCACTGGCTGAGGGAATCATTAAACACACCGTAAACACACTGTTTGTATTTAGTTTATAATCAACGTTTTTGGGTTTAGATCGCGTTATTTATAAATGTGTCGTAACCCTCCACCACCCGACACGGCCAATCAGTAAAAATGTGTCACGTTGACAAAGACAAATAGTTCACTGCTTTAGCCCACCGGTGTGTTGAAGCCACAACATTTACAATTTGAATATGACGTTTCGCTGATAATTATTGTATATAATTACAATAACTCCCCCCTCAAATCTTTGCACCTGATGAGTTAATGAGTTAATGATGACGTCACCCTGCTGCTGCTCTATATAAGAACGGGAGACACAGCAGAGCCTCACCATTCTGGCGAATTGCCCGATGATGCTGGTTGCAATTACCAGCGAAACGTCGTACTCAAATTGTAAATGTTGTGGCTTCAACACACCGGTGGGCTAAAGCAGTGAACTATTTGTCTTTGTCAACGTGACACATTTTTACTGATTGGCCGTGTCGGGTGGTGGAGGGTTACGACACATTTATAAATAACGCGATCTAAACCCAAAAACGTTGATTATGAATAACATTGGTCGCGAAAGCCTACGTGTTAAACTGTATTTAGTTTGTTGCCCTTCCTCTGCACCTCCGATTAGCATGGTCGGTTACATAAGGTGCGAAAGACGTTCAACATTACATACTTACAATGAATGACATGTCAGGATGAGAATATTTATTTATACTGGAGGAATGTGATGAGCTCACAAATCACTTTTTCACAGACGTGCAGTCGGGGCGGGTGAGAACGTTACAACAACAAACAATACAAAAATACGATAGCAGTGCAAAGTACAAGAAAGGTAAACAAATTACCCTAACACATGTAAATAAAAAAAAACAATCCTAATCCTAATAGGCGAAAGCCCACTGAGGAAGTGTAAGGTGTATATTGTGTTAATATTCGTGTCAAAACTCGCACAGGAAATGCCCACTTTTGTTTTTGTTTCCCCACGAGTAGGGGGAGCATCGCCTCCGCTACCCGTCGCCCGACTGACAA